CACAGTAAAAAGAATGAAACACTGTGCTTGACTTTTGTTGTTTCACTTAAGCAGACTGTTTATTGCTCTTTCCTTGCAGTTTTCAGCGATCAGAAGATGTAATAGAACAGCCAGCTTAACGTTTTTGTTGTTTGAGACAATATCCGAAGAACAACACGAGTTTCTCATCTCAAAGACGAGCAAATGGCCCTCCTACACAAATTATCAGGGGTACACTCGACTTTTCGATACGGAAGAGGTGTATCGGTCTTAGATGGAATCACTTTGGCCTACACATGAACCTCCTTCGGGAGAGCGAAAAACTTGTAATTTCCAAACAAATATTCTTCTTATGCAAGATCGTTTTGGATTTAGTTGGCGGATGAAGTCTATTTTTATTTAGCCATGGTATCACTTACAAGCCAAGCGCGTTCGAAATAAACCGAATTCCGTCACGCCTCTGATCCGATTTTAGCACTCGAGAAACACCCAAAATGGTCTCGGAAATAGCGAAGTGGGAGTCGGATTTTCCGACGAACTTCGACTGTATAAAATAACTATAGAATTAACGAACCAGCATAAAAGTTAGACGGACACAAGAGAAGGCTAGCNCCATGAATATCTTGATAAATGAAAGTCACATGCGGGTTTATATCTTTTACGATGACCGCGAAGGCTACATTTCTGGCTCTTTCGACGGCGCTGGTTGGTGAAAAAGGCAAAGCAAAGGAGTCGACCTCGAGGAGACAGGGTAGTTAAGATAGTATAACATAACTCAATAATAAAATTAATACGGATCGAAATCAAATAGAACAGAGCCTTCTTGACGGTTGGGTGCGCTGGCAAACATTGCATGGAGTGTCTGTCAAAGAACTATGTGTAACCTAGTTTACTGATCACGTACGCCCATGGGCTGAAATAGCATGCAATGCAAATATGCGGCAACAAAATCCGTATGCCAATAAACCTTTATAGCTTACCGTGTGGCACTGAATTTTTGTGGTTTCTAATTTTTGCGATTTTTGCGGTTTTTTCCACGAACAGCAAAAAAAGGTTCCCGCAAAAAAAAATTCCCGCAAAATTTCTCACCGCAAAAATTTACTCCACTAGGCAAAATTATATCTACAAACATCACATGTAGAATCTCCTTGATGTCATTTATTTGAAACGTCCCCCTTCGTTTAGAAAGAAAAGGATGAAATGAGAAACCAAACGTTCCGAGAAATAAAAAGGTTTACGGGAAAGGATCGTCTAAAAGTATTCCATTGAGAAGAGCATCTACAATTCAACACAAGAGCACGATGTATAATAGTGATATAGTGACACTGATTACTGAATTACAGTGTTTTACATTTTCACGTGTTGTTTCACTTGTCAATCGTGTGCAGTTTAATTTAAAAATACGAAAATGCCGTAATTTCAATCAAACGCGACTTCCCAAAAATCCCAAAAATTAGTACCCAGAAAGAAAAACCAGACTTTAACAATCGAAAAATAGTTTCCCCCAAAATACAAAAAATCACCGATTCGCAAAAATAAACTCCCGAAAAAATTTAGTGCCATGCCACACGGTAGGCGGTCTGTTGCCCATTTCAGACCATGTGATGATACTCTTGAGAATTCTTGCTTTCAAATTTTCAAATAGTCCGGCTTGTATATGAATAAATAATTTTACAAATATCATTTTAATTTGAGATAATTTAATAACTTTGTATATGAATGAATAATATTTAGATGGAAGAAAGAACAATTTTCTAGAGGACACACGTAGTGTGTAATGGGAGAACAAACCACCCAAACTCAAAAATATTTATGTACCTACTTCAAATAATTTATTCATTATATAATTCTTTATTCGACTTCCATCCTTACCTATGTTGATTCTGAGTATTTGCTTCTTTCTTCCAAATTTCAAAGCATTTTTATTTTTCAGTATGGTTTTTCGCCGCAATGTCTTAGGTTGATGTTTTGATTTGTCTTGTTTTTTTTCTCTCTTCTTCCTTTTTCTCTACTTTACTCTGCCGTGTTCCAGAATATGACATTCTCATTAACGTGAACCAGTGAAGGTTGTCGGAATGCAGGTTAGAAAGAGTAAGGATCATGATATCATGTTCCGAGGGGAGTTTGGGAGGGTCTAGCTTTGACGAGTGTTTCGTCAGATAAACAAGTGGTGTTTACAACTGAAAATAAAACGCCTACAATACTACCTGCGGCTTGGTTAACTAAGAACCAGTCGGTTCAGGTTATCGTTCTAGGCTCCCTCTGTTCCGCCTTCTCGCACTTAGTATATAGAAACAGACATCCCAATGTAGTTAATACCAATTCAACCACATGTAGTAAGGAACAATTGACATTTACGATGCACGAGTTCATCTATTGAGACTGATTACAAAGCAAATAACTCCTCCTCGTGAGGCATTAAATTTCTGGGGTGTGTTCTTCCTTATTTTAGGACAGACTTCCCGAGGCAAACCCTTGCCAATCGACGAGAGGACCCACAATTCGTTTATGCAATGTAACTCTTGTAACACATTTTGCGGTTACCGAAGCAAAAGAAAGGTACCAATATTAGACTAATATTTATATCTAATCGAACCTAGTATTTTTGCGAGACGTCACCTTCGCATATACTTGATCATGCCATGTGGCACATGAGACTTCCACATTGCATGGTGAGTCGTAGTCAAGCCAAAATACCCATGGCGGGATATCGTACACTCTAATACTAAGAAGGGTTAATCCTGATAAGAAGTTAAATCCATGGGTCTACCTGAAAAATTAGACAAATTTTAAATTAGGAGAATACTGTTTTCTTTTGCCCATTTTGGGACGCTCAACAAAATGTTTGCAATATTCTTTAAATTGGTGTCACGTGCTTTTTTCGAGTTATCTAGGCGCAAATCATCTAATTCATGAAGGCTTCTCAAGAGTCCGAAAGCACGTTTCACAAACAAAGTCTATTTTCATCGCAACGAAAGCGAACCACTTGACCCTGAGGCTATCTTGAAACAGTGTCACTGAAGTTCAACACACACGCAGCGTCCGATTACGTAAAAGTGGTACCCTCTAACGTCATGAAAATACCAAAACTCAAATAGCTAATCATCACATTTTATTTCGGTCAGAAATTTTACCAAAAAACAAAAACAAATGATAGACCTTTGTATATTATTTCGAATATTTGGTTTTGCAAATGAAGGCCAACGTCTGAATTTTGTCGCCGGTTCCTCTTAGAAGTGATTTTACATATGTTGTGAAATAATAATAATTTTTTCATGTAACGCTACGGTGACCTCAAACTATTCTTTTGCTCAACAATATAGTATCTGTAATAGTATGTAGAATCTATGATCGACTTTTCTTTAAAAGCTACCCTTAATATTTTTATCTCATTATTTGCTTCGGTCTATCTCAAGGGATTAACTAATCATTTGAAAAACGAATACAAAAGAAAGTAGTGATGTGTCACACGCGCGCAGGAAACCTCCATAAACAGTCAAGACTTTGTCACAGCAGAAAACAATAGTTCTCATTTCCCAAATCGCTGGAATTTTTAGAAATTCTCTAGGTTTTCCGGGTTTTGCCGATTTTAGCGAGACTAAAATAACATATTACTATATCTTTATATGTTTATAATTGTCCTTTTTTAAACATGTGCCATTTTGTAAAAACAAACTATAAATTGATTGTCATCGAGGAAATTTTTTTTTCTTGGTTATCAACGATAACGTTTGTATCACTGTGAGTACCTGACACTCATAGAAAATGCTTATTTAATGAAGGTATAACATTTTAGAGTACGACAAACCGCAAACATAGCTGTTAACGTAATCTGCGGTTCTTCGTTTTAATTTAGAAAACATTAAATTTTTGAAATTATCATTACAAACCGTAATTAGCCGGCGATGTCACAATGATTCTTCTCAAAGCAGCACGATGCTTTGCTTTTGAGCTAGGTAGCTAAGCAAAACTGACTTGAAGCGAATTTTTTACAGAAAAGCAAACTGAAATAAATGAATAAGGAAACGTCAGGAATGTGAAAAAATGGAGTCAAGATCAGTTTCAAAACGCGGGGAGGTCGGAAAAACCCCAGCACCCCATGTAGACCTCTTATCATACTCCTTTCATCTTGGCCGCTATGTTTTAACTTCCCACAGCGAAATCAGCTGTAGTCATCGTTTCGTAGCAAATTCCCCCACTCATTTCCTTTGCTAGAAAAATGGCAATTTTGTTGCACACCACGTCGGGTAGATAACTATCAATCAATCAATCAAAATTTACAGCATGCGCGCGACTCCCACTGTTGCCTGGTTGAGTTTAGTGCACAATGAATTTGTTTGCCCGGGGAAGCCAGTTTTTTTTTCAATTTTCCGCTGCACTGTTTTATATCACAAGTGCTTCAAGTGATAATTTATTAAAGCAATTATCCTTCAGCGAGACTTCGACGTGGTGTCAGATAAGGTTAAAACCATGTTTGTGTCACAGTAAAAAGAATGAAACACTGTGCTTGACTTTTGTTGTTTCACTTAAGCAGACTGTTTATTGCTCTTTCCTTGCAGTTTTCAGCGATCAGAAGATGTAATAGAACAGCCAGCTTAACGTTTTTGTTGTTTGAGACAATATCCGAAGAACAACACGAGTTTCTCATCTCAAAGACGAGCAAATGGCCCTCCTACACAAATTATCAGGGGTACACTCGACTTTTCGATACGGAAGAGGTGTATCGGTCTTAGATGGAATCACTTTGGCCTACACATGAACCTCCTTCGGGAGAGCGAAAAACTTGTAATTTCCAAACAAATATTCTTCTTATGCAAGATCGTTTTGGATTTAGTTGGCGGATGAAGTCTATTTTTATTTAGCCATGGTATCACTTACAAGCCAAGCGCGTTCGAAATAAACCGAATTCCGTCACGCCTCTGATCCGATTTTAGCACTCGAGAAACACCCAAAATGGTCTCGGAAATAGCGAAGTGGGAGTCGGATTTTCCGACGAACTTCGACTGTATAAAATAACTATAGAATTAACGAACCAGCATAAAAGTTAGACGGACACAAGAGAAGGCTAGCAAGAAAAACTGAGAATCAAGACGAACAAGAAGAATCAAGAAGGTAAGAATGTTTTTCCTTGGTCAAAGAGTTTTCGAATTCATTTTCAAAAAGTGCAAGTGAAGAACGGACACCCGAGAAAAAAACATACGGTGAGCAAGATTAGTAACAGTAATTTCTGAAACAAACCTAACTCATAGGAAACTTAACTAATGGTTTGACTTCTTTTAGGTCTTGTCGTTGTTCACTAAGTCTTTTAAGAAAGTCAGGAAATCTCGCTCTTTCGTTAAGATGTTGGAGCGGAAGAAGATTACAATTCGATACAATTTTACTGACCATCAGAGACTTGCGGCCTCGAACGTGGCTTAGATTCCATAGAAAAATCTTGTTATGTATAAATTACTATTTAGTTGGAATTTCAAAACAATTCATCAGTACAGCAATCAGCACTAACCTTTTCTATACTATCTTTATATTTCTGTTAAGAGTGTTTGTAATTTGCAAAAGGAAACTTGTGCCAATAGGTAAATATCTCGTGGCTTTTATTTCTCTTAGATGACGTTACTCGTCAAAGCAGTCGTGTTGCTTTGCCTCGCTATGATGTTCCACATCGACAGCGATGTCAGCGCTTACCGCATCAGGAACAGCATACATCAATGTTTTGAAGGCTGCGAGAATCGATACTGGGACTGTTTAGTCTTCTGTGACTTGAAAAGTTCTGCAGAACTGTGTGAAAGAAGGTGCGGTGGAATGTTCTACGACTGTACGGCTGACTGCCCGGTCTTTTCAAGATGAAGACTGAAAGAATCAGACTGTCACTCAGTCATTGAGGTCTGCACAGAAGAAGCCAGACAACGGAAGGACTTGTTAGCCTGGAGAATTATAAGTCTAAGATACTTTCTGTAAGATATTTTTAAGATGCCAAATCTTTTATACCAGACGGTTGTAGTAGACTATTCAGTATATTATGGCAAACGTCAATTGTATTTTAAACCAGCGGAGACTTGACCCTTAGTGTGTTAAATGTTGTTATGCATGATGTCGTATCTTCGTCAGAAATAACATGAAAACGGTGGGGCTGTGCATGTATTCCGAATTAATCAGGCGGTTATACTAAAATTTGTATATCTATTTATTTATTCTAGTTAGTAAGGTAATAAAATTTTCCTGGAAACAGTGATCATTTTCGTGAATTTTAAAAGCTTTACTTTTCCACATCGAGGCGTAGAGGACTAGGGCGAGACATTGTTGACATGTACAATGTATGTACTAGCATGTAGCTAAGGATTAAAATTTTAAATTTGACCCTGAAGTCCAATCGTTTTGGAGATACCATTTCACCACATTAAAAGCCAAAATTGGAAATATTTGTAAGTTAGCTGTCGCCACTGGGTACAAGGGACGTCACTAAAAACAAATCAATTTACACGAATGAGGGAAATCACCTTTCGCCATAATTATCACGCGTTACTATACACATCATCACATCTCTGCTTTCCGGATCATAGTGATTCTTAGAACTTGATATTCACTCTAAAATCTATGGCAATAAGTAAAGAGACGTGATAGTTACGATTGAACTCTCTTTACCTATTGTCATACAGTTATTTGATTATTAATTTTGAGAATTTGGTTGCAAATCAATCAACACTACACTACCCCATGAGTTGGTGTTTTTCTCAGCTTTGCTTCAACAGAGCATTATTCTAGAAGAAGTATCTCTACAACTCAACTAAGGCTAGAACACAACTGCTAAAGCACATCAGTGGTGTCATATCGAACCTGTTTAATTATATACCACGTACGAATGGGTGAGTTCAAAAAAATTATAAACAACTTGCCAAGGTTACAGTCATTTGAGTACTAACTGAAATAGTTTGTTAAAATATGTTGCTCAATTACAACCAGAATGTAAGCCAGAATAAAGGCGGATTATTCTCAGAAAATGCTTTGAAGGTTTCTTATAATTAAATAATGTATGCCGTTAATCGATACTAATCAGATTCCAACAGCAACGAATGTAACAGCCAGAGACGAATAAATAATATTAAGCTTGAAGTCGTATATGATGAACGAACTGTCCTGTACTGAGCTTGTTCGGGCTTGTGTAGCTTGTTTACCCCAGTTCTATAAGGGACAATCCAAGAGGCACCCTATGAAGGGGGTCGTGCACAGCTCCTCGCATCCACTCGGTAAAGCGCATGAGTAATGACAGTCATCGTAACCAAGCTGGCAGTTTTCGAAACAGTCGTAAGGACCTTCATACAGTCCTATAGCTGAGCTTTTGACCTCTTTAGGACTATTCATCAGCACTGCAAGGCTCAAAATGATGGCTGTTACAATAGCATTCATCTGGTGGAAGGAAATAAAAACAGTCGAAGTTAGCATCACTGATGACATTGAAGACTGAGGAGAGGGAGGTCCGCAACCCGGACAACACCCTCCACCCAGCTGCTTACATACACACTAGTAAAAAGAAAAGTGAAATCTTGGTTCCAAAATCATTGGAAACTGTGAGGCATGCTATGTCTGTTATGTGGGAGGCCTGGTACTGCATGAATTTTCAACTCGTTAAGCGTTTAAGGACAACTGAGTAAGATGGGTTAGGCTGATCACGAAACACCATTTATTGCCGGAGAAGTCCATCCTGTTTTGCTCAGGAAGGTCTTTAATTTTTTGTAACTATGTAATTGAATAATTATGTAACATGTATTTTGATACTATAAAATAACCGGCAAATTAATTTAGATCCTACACAATGGAAACTATTTACGGTGAGACTAAATCTAATTGTATGGAATAAGTATCCAGCAAAGTCATTGAAAGTTCATCAAGTAGTTTTCTCGAGGCGGGCAATTAAGATTCTTTCGTCGTTTCACAGTGCCTCTCTCGACTCAGGTCTATATGGGAAGCAGCTACCTGCATGTTTGAGCCACCTGATCAAACGCTAGGGCCCAACTAGTGATCGACTGACAACTCTATGATCGAAGTCGCTTCATGTTTCAGAAACTGGGATGCCCTCAGGGTGTGTGGGTCAGTTGCCCCGAGTGTTTCTTAAGTTCTTAACTAGTTAGCTTATAATTAGTTCTTGAATTGGTAGGTAACGGACGCAATTATGATGTATTGATATTCTACCCAAAGCCTTGGTGTAGTGTGACTTCGTTTGCTCAGTTTATTCTCCTATTAAAGCCTCGGAGTCAATTTTGACCATCAGTCCGCGTTTGGCTTCAGTAATACTTTAATTTGTTCTAAACAACAACCGGCATTTTATTAATCCAATTACATTGTTTTTTTATTATTATTATTTTTTTGAGTGAGGAAGTTGACGTTTCCGAACTTAGTTCCCCCGTTTTTAAGTATTTGTGCACTCTGTCACAATTCACTGGGGTAAACAGCTTTTAGATGTGCGGACATTGACGTAACAAAAACAAACAAAAAAAAACATTGGTACCGGTTTATTTGTTCCCTGTGAAAGTTGAACTGAGTTTAATGTTTCTGTAAATGCCATGGTTTCTTAGTTACTACGAAATACAGTTTGCGTTAGAAGCGTAGGAACAATTCGCGTACTGAAAGTTCGAAACTTTCTTTAATTAATTAGCATCGTATACTCAACAAAGTTTTCGTCTTGCCTGCCGACTCAGCACATCATTCTCGTAAAAAAACTCGCGCTTAGTCGGCAATCTACTGAACTTCATTCCAGTGGTGCGGCCGCTCGAACAAATCTTCATTTCAAAATTTCAATCTTTATATTTTTTTGGTTTCAATCGTTGACTTCGCACTGAGAAACGAACGATAACTGAACAACCATGATTTTATCGATCACAGATGCACGAATCCTTGGCCTCAGAGCAAAAGCGTTTACAATCTAAGGAACTGAATGACTCACCTTTCACGTTGAGATTCTTCCAGCAAGTTGAAACTAATTTTTGATTCTTCTTCTTTCTTGTTTGCGTGCTCAGTCTCGCTTGCCTAGGTCTACTTTAAAGTTTTTGTCGCGGACTATGCCAAATTTATACCATTCGTTATTGTGAATAATGACTGCCACCTATTGGCTAGTTTTCTCCAAATATAGATTGCACTTCCTATAGCAATTAATGGACGGACATCGCCCAAAAATGTAAAATATTTCAAGCAAATGCCAACGGTTATATGTGGTTTCCGACAGGCGTAGGTAGATCTAACAGCTTCTTTACTTGTAAGAGTTATAAAAGAATCTTGGAGGCAAAAAGGCTTTTAAACTAAGTCACTTAATGAAAAATACAGCGTCCGTTTAGGAACAGGAAAATTACTGCTGAGGAAAAAAGCCGACCTGTGCTTGCTTTTGAGTTAAGTCAGTTAGTATAAAATACTGCTATTATATAGCACAACAATTTACAACTTGTAAGATAATGGTTTGATTCTGACTATTTTTTGATATTTCGTTCGTTATGTTTACAACTTGTTTGATTGTCCTTTTAGCGAATGGAAATTGCAAAACAGGGTCCATTTTTCTAACTGGAATTTCTCTGACATACCTTTAGGGATTTATGTAGTATTCATAAAGGAATTTTTTTTCAGTCAACCCAAGAAGTTAACCTGGTTTCAAAAGAACAACTCAAGAGAACAACTTGCAGAAAGCGGAGAACGGGGACGAAACAAAAGCCGTAATGAAATTTACCCTTGAGAAAATTGAACCGACATTTAATACAATATAAATTAAAAGAAAAACAAATTTCTTTAATATGCACACTCAAGTACATTTTTTTGAGCGAAGGTCTTTGCCCTCAACGAGACACGTAATGGGCAAATATAACTTTGTTTTCCTTGTAGAACTTTGACCTATAATCATTTTGTGTTTACAGACACTGCGGAGATAGCCTTATCTTTCTAACATCTTGACAAAGGCATTTTAGTAAATTATGGACTTGACATATACAACTATTTTTTCAATGACGAAGTTGACTGAAGCGAATCTTGTAAACATACGTAATTGCCCAACAATTTACAAGTTACAAAACTTTAATTTTGCAATGACTGTAAATTGCTCGCACGCCGATTGGCTAATTTTTATCGCTTACAAGAGTGCAAGCATAGCTGACGTTATCGCGCGGGAATTAATATTGGATAACTATCTCTAAACTGTCGTAAATTCTACAACTGTGTAGCGACAAATTGCATTTAATCACGGACAATCACCTGCAGACGGCCTCTTTTAAATTGAAGGACGAAGCAATTAACTGTGACGCGAAAAATATAGCATTTGTCGGAGTTGACATAAAAGACTGATCGATCAATTTGTAAACTCGATCAATTTTACAGAACATAGGACGCAAAAATCTTGAAAAGGTCAATAGCAAAGTAATTTCAAGTTATGCTTAGTGAAGTATAGTATTTACTGTTTTAGGAGTATACCAATTCAAGATTAATGATTAAAGCTGAAAAGTTCATGATTATAAAATTAGAGTAGATATTTCAGCTAGTTAGAATAAATATTTCTTAATTATCACAGGAAACGACCAAGAAAATAAAGGTTTCTAAATAACAACGTAATTCGATTTAAATTAACGTGACCTCAAAACTTCCAAACATCGGTAATTAAGTGCTTGAAGTACTTTAAAGTGCCACCAACTAAATAAACAGTATTCTTATGAAATGATATCATCAGTCGACTAATCAACAGATTAGCCACAAAATTAAATTTACTCACTGAGGAGTTAAATTCCATGGATAGCTTCTAAAAAAAGAGCAGGACTAATCTGTCTTTTTCCTTTTCGGCCATATAATGACCCCGAATGACACATCACGTTGCATAAACGTAATGGTTTCTGAAGGAATCAGCCTCCGAGACGATGATGGATCGATCTTCAACTGAGTCAGGGAAATTTAGAAATAAAGGTTTAGAAGGTCTCACAGAGACTCGATTCTCGAATCTTTTCTAATATAAATTAAAGTGGCTCCCTAAAGTTTTGCGGCCGCGCGCGGGCGAAAACTTTAGTAATCTGCGTGAGCTCAAAAAAAACACCAGTGTTTTACGATATTTTATGACCACAAAAAGCGAAACTGACAGCAAAATTTCCTGCCTTTCCTTAGGTAAAATTCCGTACAATTTGGCAAATTTGGCAGACTCTTAATAGATCTTTTATTTTTATTTGGAACTTGTTGTTCAGGAAAGTTTATATGACCAGTTTTTCCGCTGCTAGGAAAGACATGAATTTGCAAAAAAATATATAAAAACTGGGAGAACGAACCCCACTTTTTTCGTGTTTAAAATTTGTGTCGATGTACTGTGAAAATATTAGACGATTTCACCGAAGGAAATTCAAGTAAATCGCAAACAAAGCTAAACAAACGGTGAAAAATGCATTCTTCTAGACATTTTTAATTCGAGACAAGCCAAACTTTAAACGTACAGAGATGATTGAAAACAATACTTTATCATTGCTTATCACATTTGGTAAGTTTGAGATAAATCAGTGTAAAATGTAAAGTCGGCTTTCAAAATGATAACACCAGCACGCGCAACACGATAAATAATTATCTCATGAGGCCACCTTAAACCATAATTTTGATCCTGAATATAATTTTTTTAAGCTTTGTTTAACTGGACTGATCTTATATGTAATAAATGTTTTTTCCACAGCAAGTGAATATATGATATTTCATATATTCCTTGTTTGACTATTCCTCTGTTTTGACTTTGATTTCCTTACTATTTACCTTTAATTACTGATGTACGTGAAATCTGCGCAAAAGACTGGGCTGTAAATTGACCTTGGTGGTTACGAAGAATGCGTCTGACTCGCGTTTTTCCAACGCACTCGTGGTCCGCCGAAACCGATTTATTTGTTACATAAAACTTAACCTGAATCTTTACTTTTCTTAGAGAAACAAACACCTTTTCTGAAAGCGTAAAAATATGATGTTTTGAACAGAAGGGTTAAGAAATCAGTGTAAACCGAAAACGTTATTAGATTAATGTCACGGAGTTCGAGAATGGTCACTTAGTAAAGATGCTAGCCATCTCAGTCCATTACATACATACATACTTTATTGTTACCTCCCCAATGGGGCTTTTCAGGAACAATTACTTAAATTACTAAGTTACTAATAACTACACAATCAAAATTAATTTAAGAAACATTTACAACATTATCTAAACTTTGTCCATTGATCATGTCTTTTTTTTAACGTATAAAATTGTCTTCAATTCAGAAGAAAGCTCGAAATACTAGTTTCCTGTGCGTAAAAACGTCAGGGGGGCTACACATGTACTAAACTAAGAAACCACAAGGATGGCTGCAAATGAGGAATATACTACAGATGACGTTGATTATATCTGAGAAACTTGAAAGCTGTAAGGTTGATTTTCGATTTACCTTTTTGCAAAGGAAATTATTAGATTTACAAAAAAACAAAAAACAAAAAACAAAAAACAGAAAAACATTTTTTTTTTACATCGTGCTCGTGATATGAGAGAGAATTTTATACCTGTTGTTACTGTTTCATGAATTCTTAATACGCGCACAAAATTTTTTAGACATTTCCTGAGACATTCTCGACCAAAGCAAATGGACGCCTTGACAGCAATAATCATCATCTCAAGCGACAATTACCTTTTGAAATATATTTTTTTGGGCGATACGTTCGTCTTCTGCTCATCACACGGTTATATTTAGTACGTACGTATCATATATGCACCGGTTAACTGGCCTGGAGCATTTTAACAGATTCTTGTGATTATACAATCATCAATAAGGGTTAAAATTTCACCTTCAGGGACCAAAAATTATTGTCTCAAACTGTACAGACTTTTTTCAAAAATTGTGTAATAAATTATCTCACATTTTTCAAGCAGCGTTTCAGTCGGCAACTTAAGTTGTCCGTGTGCGTTAAAATAATCAATGTCATTACATGCTCTGCCAACTGAAGGCTTTAGCAAATCCCGCTTATTTTAGGTTTAATGGGTTTCTTCGGCCTAATGGTTCACCGTTCAAAGGCATTCTCAACAAGGCTAATTGCCTCGATTTATTTTCCTCTGTCTTGAGCCAACATGTTTGTATTTTTATTGAGAGACAAAAAAAAAAGGAATTATCGCTTTCAAAACCACCTGCTAGGAACATTTTATGGTTATTATTTTTCTCGCTCCAAAAATATTACTCTCTCTCGTTCTTGCACGAAAGCCGTTTTGACGGACTGCAATGGAAGAAAGAAGAAATTATTCAGTCATGTAACATTATTTTGAAAATGTGCATTAAATAGTGTCCATTCATTGCAAACAGCAAATCGTCCATGCAGTTTCATATTTCATTGTTTATACCAAAATTCAAATAATATATGTTACATGTAATTAAAGAATTTTCCGGTTTATTCAGTTTTTAATTTGGCCAAAGCTGTCATGAATACGTTGCATGTAATCCATTTGGGTCACCGCGTAGCTTTTCCCGATGAAAAAAGTTTGTGTTTTTATAAAAAAAAAAATAATAATAACATAAGAATACCACCATCTCAGTAAAAGACCCCGCCGATCATGTTTTGACTTTGTGTAGTGTTTGCATTAGATTCAATAATTTTATGCACGAACTGTTTGCTTCCAATGTTTTGTTGCCGTACATCTTCGGATTATACCTGTTAATCGCGTAAACAAAAGGTTTTCAATTAAAAAAAAAAATTTTTTTCCCACTGCTACAATGCTACAATGATTTGCTAGAAATTTGCATACGAAAATGTAAAATCTTGGTTTTACTCGGTAAGACGTTGTTTTTTCTCCTAATTCTTTTCAATATTTATTGTCATACTTGTTAGCGAATCCTCGTTCAGTATAAATTTTTCATCATTAGAGCGCCTTGTTTACGCATGCGCTGTAGCCAAACTAAAAACACCTGAAATTACTAGCGTTTGTGATGCAAATGGTTAGATAATTGAACATAGCCCGAGATGAAGATTTGCCCGCATTTTGTTTCAGCGATTGACTGAATTCTCGCTTTTCAAGGTGAGTGTGGATGCACATTGTGACTTTGATATGAATGCGAGTTTATTTAAATGTTTGATTTTGTATCGCCGGAATATTGATCAATCATGCTAGCAAAAGTAGATCGAAGTTTGCAGATAGCAACCCACGCGAGATAAAAAGCATTTTCTGTTCCTAGCTGCATTTCAGTTTACCTTTCACGCCAGGCACCAATCTATGAATTGTTCTGTTCGTGTATTTATTGCTACTCGAGAAACAGAATGGAAGCGTGCCAGGGATAGAACGTAACAAAACTGATTTCTCGACAACATAAAGATATGTACGCTAGACCATTTAAATAAGTTTCCTAGACAAAATATTGTCAAGACAAATACGAATTTTGCAAGCGGTTAATTGCAGATCTTTAGTTGATGAATATTTTTTTTCACTAACGAAAGTTATCACTTGAAGATACCAATTGCAAATATTAAAAATGGTATTTCCCAGGTCGTGGTCTTTGCGTCACCGATTTCAACTAAGCTATCTCCGACAAACGTTCAATGTCGTCGAAGAGACCAACGCGAGACAACAAAATTAGAATTACAAAATAATAAATTCTGAGAGGGGCTTGAAAATAAAATTATAGTGAACGTTTAAAACACAAGAGCTTAAATCGCTTCCAATCTGTAGCATGCTGTGATCTCGGTGAGGCCTGATATTCAAATTTTTCATATGCTTAAAGTTAACGTGTCATAGCGCGAAATCATTTGGTTTCGATATCCCGCTGTACCTCTGAGACTTGAGCGTTTCCCTCAGAGCTATATGGCAAAAATACTTTATTTTTGAAAACGCCATTACATCATGATGAAGAAATATTTTTGTCATCTTCTCCGACATTACCCCAGTAAAGTATGCAAGCAAATGCAGATTTGAATGGCGGGGTAACTTCAAAAAGGGCGAAAGACGAAATAAGCAATTAAGTTAACTGATTTGATAGGCAAAATTTGGTGCCAGATCAAGGAATACCCATTTGTTGAATGTAGTTATCATTTTAGTGCCATAGCGAGACGAATGCGATTCACGGAGGGCCAATTTAGTTTACTTTCAAATTTTTATGCGATGCGTGTCTTCGGGGTTACATGCTGCTAGATATTTTTCATTAAAAAAAGAGAAAGCGATCTGTTTTTCACCCTGACCGACAAATTTACAGTTTTTCTAGGCTGTCGCTAATTGCAAATAGATAAACAATGAAGATTGCTTTTTCATTATTTAATGTTTCGTACTTTTACATGCACAGACGTAAAAAATATGATCGCAAAAATCTATACGAACAAAAATTTACGTTAAGTCTACATAGTTGGCATCTTTCTTTTTTCAATCAGGGAAATGTCTTCTAATTCTGCTCAAGGAGCTGTCCTGATTTTACTTCTCATTTTTAATTCTCTGATTTTAATTCTCATTTCTGTCGGTTCTACGATTCTTGATTTCTTGAAATTTTCTCATTAACGACTTATTATCAACTTAGAAAGAATTTTGCAGGAAGGGCGTAGTTTTTTTTATCTTAGTCAAGATATCTGACGTCTGCTTACGTAGAGATTATTATCAGCAAATCCTCTTTTTATATAGAGGACTTACTGATAATCTCCACGTATAAAAACGTTGTCGGTTACTCTAAAGGTTGCCCGACAGTTATACATGTCTGCTGTGCCGTTATACAAATATCGTAGTTTGCCAAATAAAATACAATATTTAGAGAGGAAGCCACGTCGACCTTAGCTGGTTTTCATACGGGTCCTAAATCCTTGTTGAATTACAATTTGGAGATTTGGAGAATACCTATAAAATCCTAAATTGTGATTATAGGTCGTCATATCTTGTCCTTGTTGTAAAATCCGCCGTTAATTGCAATGCATGGCTCGCTGCATTTGGAACGATTCACCTACCGCAAATTGCCATAACACTGTTAACAAAGCGCAGATAAATTGCAATCCTGAGAACTTAGATAAGATCTTTTGAAGTTCCGTTAAAATTACTACAGAAATGTGAGAACTATCTGAAATCGAATTCTTGTAAAATTACTGTAATTTCCACTGTGTTTGACCGTCCCAGAGGCGGGTTACCTTGATGGTTGACTAGCTGACTATAAGGGTGGTGGGTTGGTTGGTTGGTCGAGCTGGCTGGCTACCTGGTTGACTGGTTGGCTGGCAAGTTGGTTGCGACAGTTTAAACAATTTAAGAAACAGATTGTACCAGTTGACCCGGAATGACATGACAGAAAAAAAAAAAATCACAAATTTATATGATTTTTTATCCTTTTCACAGATTATTACAAAACAAGACGGAGTGCTAATGTTACAATTTACGACCAGTCTATTACAAATAACCTGACAACATGTTATTACTCATGTGCGATAGGTGTGGAATTACAAATGTGAATAGCTTTCTTAAAGAAACAAAAAAAAACTAGCAATATGTTTGAACGCCAAAGGAACTATTTTGACATTTAACAGCTTGGAAAAACTGAATTCCCAAACCACAATAACCCAATTTGGCGCGAAAATATACACCGATGTATGTCCTCCATTGGAACGTTATCTGTTCCTCGAAGCTGGAGGAACAGACAACTCGGAGAAGCTCGAGTCTCGAGCTCGCTCTCGGAAAACTGGTCGCCTCGAGGAGAGATGACTTTCGCAGACAAATTTTTCTTCACATGTTCGCGCCAAATGGAGTTATTGTTTATGCTTTTACAAAATTTGCTATGATATAGTTTACGATAATAGACGTACGTGATGCTAAAAATCATGAATCACAGCAGTATAATGAACATGTCTGACATTCATGATCTGGAATTTTCCACAGAAACCCAATTTAATTTCTTGCAATTGTAACATACCAAATTCCTTTAAGTTCTAAAAGTAACCGGCAACCCTCGTTACTTTCGGATTTAGCAGCCTGTTCCTCTTGATTTATTAATATTTTTTTCTGATAAAACGTTGCGATAGGAAAAAATTTATGAGACGCAAAACACAGGGTCATCTAAGGCAAACATTACATCGGCTCGGTTATTGCTTTCAGTTTGTCTCTATAAGCGAGTCGATCGAGTTGTGTTTGAGGTCGTGCGTTGTTTTCGGAAAAATGCTGCTTTAGGCATGTTAGTCACACTTTTGAGTACACTTTTTCCGTGCGTTGTAGTATGCATATATTTATTCAGTAGCTGTGTTCTGAAAGTCTAGTGTTTCTTATGAAAGTCCAGTTATAGCTATTAAAATATGGTGAAAACCACAGGCGACTAAGAGTCTGATAAAGAAAAATGAAATTACTCCTACGCGCGGACCTTTTTTGTTACTGATCAATTAACATTTTTTCATTATTATTTGTGTGCATCGGTTCTACAGTTCTCGCCAGGAGGTGGCGCCTCTAAAGATTATTGCCTAACACTATAAATTGTAGCTTTAACAGAGTTTGACAATATTGTGGCACAAAGCAAAACATTCGCATGTCTGTAGGGCAGTTAATACTTATAAATGAGCGATTTACACTTTGACTTGTACCAAGATCTTAGGTAGGCACTCTCTCTTGCTCTCACACTCTCTCAGGAGTGAACATGCACCTTACCCCTTGAAACTCCTTGAGAAAAAACTAGTAAAACGTATTTCAACTACTAAAACGTGTTGAGCAAATGCAAAATTTACACAGCCAATGAATAGCCAAACCTCAATATTGTCGTCTAGTTATAACCTAAATTAATATTCTTGTTCCTTTTATTTTAGTAAGAAAATTTCAGTTGTTATGTGGCGAGTCATCGCACTCTGCATCGTGGTGTTAATCACAGCGACATCAGTTTCTGAAGGATTATTTGTCTCTTGGGATAAAAACGCCAATTTAACCAAAGATGACATATACATTAGCTACAAGCGCATTTACGTGCCTAACAAATTTGGAAGGATAACTCAAGAGTTCAGGAATCTTACTTCACACACACTGGACGAGCGCTGCCAGAAAGGAATGCCGCTGTCCATATCATGGAGTTTAAACGAGCCTTACTCTGGAGTACTGGGACCGAAAATCGGTAGAAAATTGGGTTTTGCTGCGCGCGGAATATTTCCAAGTAAGTAAGACCAACTACTTTTAATGTAGCTTGGAAGGCCTAGAGCTCGTAACGTAATGTGGACTAAAACGTTTTAAGTTTGGGTAGCCGATTTGGTTTTCCTGTCGATAATAATTTTCGATTTCGCTTTCTGAGTCTAGAATATTTTATACTGTAGCGCAAAGCATTTTGCAAAATGAAAAAGGTGCGTGTTTGGGAAAGCTTGTATTCCCCTTCCGCTAGCTTGGCGTTGGTTTACACAGGGAAATTGAGAGAGATTTCTATTCTTTTTATCTTAAGCTTTTTTATCATTCATATCGTTGGTAAGTCTTATCACAAAAGAATGACTTACTCTCTGGCTCAGGGTTCTTGCTCGCCTTTTTGCCTTGAAGTAATTTTTTCCTAGTAAGCTAAGTCTCCGTCCCAGGTGGATCAACGATCTCGGCTGCACGTGCTCTTTTTCCTTTAGAAATCTTCCTTATATATACGATACAGTGATGTCAATGACGGTCAGTAAACGTGACTTATATAATGAGATCGAAAGTATGGCGCCGAAGATTACCTAGTTAAATTTATCCATGGAAAGTAAGCGAGACGCTTTCAAACGACATCGTTAAATTAAAAGCACATGCGAAAATATACTCTAGAATTATAACGTCCCCGTTCCGTCTTCAGGCCATTAATTTTCCCTGGAATAACGTGTTTCGTTTCTTAAAAGAAATTAATGCGAACTGAGTTTTAGTGATTTAGAGTGTCATAAAGGCTCTTTGTGCCATCACGGAAGCCATTATTGTTCCCCAGAATAGCGTGCGGCTAAGTAAAGGAAACTGATATCCCTGATTTGATTTGCATGTAGCGTTTTAGAGCAACTTGCATTGCTTCATCAAGCATCATTCATCCCTTTTATAACGCACTGTCAGTATTGCGCGGATTGATTGATTTAAAGATCGCTTGAATTTAGCGAAGACGTTTGGATATGTCTTAAAAGTTCAATAGCTGGAAAATCATCCATCCCTGGAATTAGCGCAGGATTATTCAAATTGTTTATTCTGTCAACTCTAAATGTCCTAAATGCATTCCTAATTGACTTTGTACATGAAAAGAAAAGAATGTAACTCGAAAATCAGACTGCTACTTAATAAACTTTGCCACCTTGCGTTAAATTTGCTACATTTGAATATATCCAAGCTTATCCTTAGTCGGTCTGACGCAGAAAGGAAGCAATTCTGTATAATTACTTCGGTTAAAGGAAGATTGGCCCCGGGCTTTTATCAGTTGTAGGTTCCTGGCTACGTTATGAGGTTGAAATTAAAGCTGCGGACACCGAAACTGTTGCTCGAACGTGTTGCAATATTTCATGTTTTGTCATATTTATCGATATGCATCCCCGGGAAAAATCGGGTGGAAGTGTGCGGTCCGCTTCCCAAAATCCTTACCCCATTTATGACCCAAATCTGCGATTTTCCCCACCCTGTTAATGACCTGACCAAAAATTCGATACCCTATTTATGACCTGAATCGTAAATCAATACTCTATTTATGACTAAAACGGCTGAAAAACCATATCCTTTGGCGCCGCACGTAGCTATATAGCCCATATAAGGGAACACCCCGGTATGCATATGAAGTACAATTTTAGAATTTTAACGGTCATGTAAATTGCGATCAACGGATGTAAATTGTGATCAACAGATGTGGTTCAACGGCTTGTCCACCACTGCTGTAACGGAAGTGAAATAGTGTATGGTACATTCATGAAGAGCATAAGGGAGGCAGAGGATCACTTTTCCGAACAAATGTACGATTTCACATTCCCGGTGTACAGATCCAAAATGGACAAAGACCTGTACAGGGACCAACCGTTTGTGACTGTGGTGGCCGCACCAAGAGTCGTATTGCTGGTCTACGATGGACCTCAGGTAAAAAAAGTTTTGAAAGGTTAAAACTTTGCAGTTCTTTCAGACAATTATCTGCCTACCTAATCCTACCATTTAATAATTTGGAACGATTCGCTGGCATACCAGGCGAGTTTGGTAGAGCCATGGCTCATAGTATGTCGAGACGTATAGTCGAGCCAAAATCCACGTGCAGAGAACAACGACTGCCCTGAAGCGTACCAAAAAAGACACGATTAGGTATTAACCAAACCCACGTTCGGCCTTAAATCAGGCGATATCTCCGGTTAGTAACTTAATATCGCAAGATATCAACACAGTAGACAAGGTTTCTCATAGAATAAAGGTTTAGCCATTGTTTTGAAACAAGAGAATCGTATTCTCTTGTTTCGGAAAGCACTCTCCAGAGATTGTGCGTAGCGGTCGTTGTGATGAAAAATACACGAAACTGCAGTGCGTCGTGTGGTGCTTCGTCTAGGTCATATTGGGTAGTTTTTATTCTCTAATCATCATGGAGTCGTAAGGTAAGGTTCAACTCTCTCCGCTTAGCGATCATAGCAATCAAATGGAAACCAACCTTTAAAAAAGGGTGTCCGCATTTATAAGAGGTGATATAAAGCGGGGGGCTAAAATAGGAGGCTATGGGACCATACAAAATGTATGGGGATCATGATAGAACATGCTGTGCCGTGGGGCTTGCAGAGAGCTATATAGCGTGGAAGAGGGGCCGTAACAAGTGCTCGGCATGAGTGGCCGGGAAATTATTCCTTTAGCTGAAAGTAACTTCGTTTCACTTTCTTTCGCCCAGAAAACAAGAACACAGAATCTTGCTGACACCATATTTAATGCCTGGCCGTTCCTGATATTTATCCTGGCAGCAGCTGGTGCATCTGGGATGACTGTCTGGTTATTGGTACGAGTTAAAATTAGGATAGTTGAACAGAAGAGCACTACGTTAATAACTAGTACATAGACTAACAAAACAAAGAAATATTTGTGTTAAGCGTTAATTTTCAGCGTTCTCTGATAAAGAGTGTTTAAAAACTCGTGAGTTTTCGGCTTCCTGTCTAAAGCCTTTAAAAACGAAGATGTTCTTGAAAAGATGAAAAATGTTTGCGAAAAGCGAGTGTAAAAAATTATCACTTACGTTTTGTTAACATTTTCTTTTCGCTCGCATATATTTTTCGTCTTTCCTTCTTACAGTTAAGCTTTAGGCCTTAGACTGGAAGTCGAAGACTCACGAATTTTTAAAAATTCTTTAGCATCCCAGTGTTGTCAGAGTGTTGCACTCCGTACCATGTAGTTCAAAGTAGTTAATTTTTTCCCTGTCATTGCTCGTTTCCTTTATTTTCCCCACAGGAATATGTTTTCTTCTCAAAAGAATTCTCAAGAAAATTTGTGAATGGTGCCTGGGACGGTTTCTGGTGGGCTGTTGTTACCATGACAACTGTAGGGTAAGTGATAAATGTTAAGGCCACCTGCAAAAGGACAGCGTGTTTGGTTTTGGGTGATTTAGGATTGTTTCACCACAGTGCTTCTCTATGTATCGACATTGCTGATCTGAAATTATGTGTTGGCCAGTTGACCAAACGTCGTTCTGTTTGGTATTTGACAGGAATATTAATGTTGATTTCTGTTTTCACAGGACAGTTCACATGAGTTTATTGTATCAAATCTTTCTTTTGCCATCAGTTATGGCGACAGTTCGCCGAAGTCCCTGCCTGGTCGACTATTCTGCTTCATTTGGATAATAACTGGTATAAATATAATATCCATATTTACTGCACTGGTCACAGCCACAGTAACGGCATCAACACGACCGTACTTCAACATTCATGGCGCCAAGGTAAAGAGATGTCTTAATGAAGCTTATCACTCCACACTAAATCACTCTACACTTCTATAATAGGTTCCTTCAAAGAGAGATTTTTCAATCAAGCTGAGGCCCTAACAAGCGAGAGGTTTTCTGATAGTTGAAGAAAAACCTTAAGTACAAGCAAACAGATCAAAAAATCGCATTCCCGTGGTCAACCATAAAGACTACAAATTTCATTTTACAAAGAGACGCCATGAAAATGAATTCTCAAAGGTTGTCCTTATATAAAAGGAAAACCTTCGAGAATTTATAAGACCTTATTGAATATAGCAGTTATACTTAATTTATNCTTGAAACTCCTTGAGAAAAAACTAGTAAAACGTATTTCAACTACTAAAACGTGTTGAGCAAATGCAAAATTTACACAGCCAATGAATAGCCAAACCTCAATATTGTCGTCTAGTTATAACCTAAATTAATATTCTTGTTCCTTTTATTTTAGTAAGAAAATTTCAGTTGTTATGTGGCGAGTCATCGCACTCTGCATCGTGGTGTTAATCACAGCGACATCAGTTTCTGAAGGATTATTTGTCTCTTGGGATAAAAACGCCAATTTAACCAAAGATGACATATACATTAGCTACAAGCGCATTTACGTGCCTAACAAATTTGGAAGGATAACTCAAGAGTTCAGGAATCTTACTTCACACACACTGGACGAGCGCTGCCAGAAAGGAATGCCGCTGTCCATATCATGGAGTTTAAACGAGCCTTACTCTGGAGTACTGGGACCGAAAATCGGTAGAAAATTGGGTTTTGCTGCGCGCGGAATATTTCCAAGTAAGTAAGACCAACTACTTTTAATGTAGCTTGGAAGGCCTAGAGCTCGTAACGTAATGTGGACTAAAACGTTTTAAGTTTGGGTAGCCGATTTGGTTTTCCTGTCGATAATAATTTTCGATTTCGCTTTCTGAGTCTAGAATATTTTATACTGTAGCGCAAAGCATTTTGCAAAATGAAAAAGGTGCGTGTTTGGGAAAGCTTGTATTCCCCTTCCGCTAGCTTGGCGTTGGTTTACACAGGGAAATTGAGAGAGATTTCTATTCTTTTTATCTTAAGCTTTTTTATCATTCATATCGTTGGTAAGTCTTATCACAAAAGAATGACTTACTCTCTGGCTCAGGGTTCTTGCTCGCCTTTTTGCCTTGAAGTAATTTTTTCCTAGTAAGCTAAGTCTCCGTCCCAGGTGGATCAACGATCTCGGCTGCACGTGCTCTTTTTCCTTTAGAAATCTTCCTTATATATACGATACAGTGATGTCAATGACGGTCAGTAAACGTGACTTATATAATGAGATCGAAAGTATGGCGCCGAAGATTACCTAGTTAAATTTATCCATGGAAAGTAAGCGAGACGCTTTCAAACGACATCGTTAAATTAAAAGCACATGCGAAAATATACTCTAGAATTATAACGTCCCCGTTCCGTCTTCAGGCCATTAATTTTCCCTGGAATAACGTGTTTCGTTTCTTAAAAGAAATTAATGCGAACTGAGTTTTAGTGATTTAGAGTGTCATAAAGGCTCTTTGTGCCATCACGGAAGCCATTATTGTTCCCCAGAATAGCGTGCGGCTAAGTAAAGGAAACTGATATCCCTGATTTGATTTGCATGTAGCGTTTTAGAGCAACTTGCATTGCTTCATCAAGCATCATTCATCCCTTTTATAACGCACTGTCAGTATTGCGCGGATTGATTGATTTAAAGATCGCTTGAATTTAGCGAAGACGTTTGGATATGTCTTAAAAGTTCAATAGCTGGAAAATCATCCATCCCTGGAATTAGCGCAGGATTATTCAAATTGTTTATTCTGTCAACTCTAAATGTCCTAAATGCATTCCTAATTGACTTTGTACATGAAAAGAAAAGAATGTAACTCGAAAATCAGACTGCTACTTAATAAACTTTGCCACCTTGCGTTAAATTTGCTACATTTGAATATATCCAAGCTTATCCTTAGTCGGTCTGACGCAGAAAGGAAGCAATTCTGTATAATTACTTCGGTTAAAGGAAGATTGGCCCCGGGCTTTTATCAGTTGTAGGTTCCTGGCTACGTTATGAGGTTGAAATTAAAGCTGCGGACACCGAAACTGTTGCTCGAACGTGTTGCAATATTTCATGTTTTGTCATATTTATCGATATGCATCCCCGGGAAAAATCGGGTGGAAGTGTGCGGTCCGCTTCCCAAAATCCTTACCCCATTTATGACCCAAATCTGCGATTTTCCCCACCCTGTTAATGACCTGACCAAAAATTCGATACCCTATTTATGACCTGAATCGTAAATCAATACTCTATTTATGACTAAAACGGCTGAAAAACCATATCCTTTGGCGCCGCACGTAGCTATATAGCCCATATAAGGGAACACCCCGGTATGCATATGAAGTACAATTTTAGAATTTTAACGGTCATGTAAATTGCGATCAACGGATGTAAATTGTGATCAACAGATGTGGTTCAACGGCTTGTCCACCACTGCTGTAACGGAAGTGAAATAGTGTATGGTACATTCATGAAGAGCATAAGGGAGGCAGAGGATCACTTTTCCGAACAAATGTACGATTTCACATTCCCGGTGTACAGATCCAAAATGGACAAAGACCTGTACAGGGACCAACCGTTTGTGACTGTGGTGGCCGCACCAAGAGTCGTATTGCTGGTCTACGATGGACCTCAGGTAAAAAAAGTTTTGAAAGGTTAAAACTTTGCAGTTCTTTCAGACAATTATCTGCCTACCTAATCCTACCATTTAATAATTTGGAACGATTCGCTGGCATACCAGGCGAGTTTGGTAGAGCCATGGCTCATAGTATGTCGAGACGTATAGTCGAGCCAAAATCCACGTGCAGAGAACAACGACTGCCCTGAAGCGTACCAAAAAAGACACGATTAGGTATTAACCAAACCCACGTTCGGCCTTAAATCAGGCGATATCTCCGGTTAGTAACTTAATATCGCAAGATATCAACACAGTAGACAAGGTTTCTCATAGAATAAAGGTTTAGCCATTGTTTTGAAACAAGAGAATCGTATTCTCTTGTTTCGGAAAGCACTCTCCAGAGATTGTGCGTAGCGGTCGTTGTGATGAAAAATACACGAAACTGCAGTGCGTCGTGTGGTGCTTCGTCTAGGTCATATTGGGTAGTTTTTATTCTCTAATCATCATGGAGTCGTAAGGTAAGGTTCAACTCTCTCCGCTTAGCGATCATAGCAATCAAATGGAAACCAACCTTTAAAAAAGGGTGTCCGCATTTATAAGAGGTGATATAAAGCGGGGGGCTAAAATAGGAGGCTATGGGACCATACAAAATGTATGGGGATCATGATAGAACATGCTGTGCCGTGGGGCTTGCAGAGAGCTATATAGCGTGGAAGAGGGGCCGTAACAAGTGCTCGGCATGAGTGGCCGGGAAATTATTCCTTTAGCTGAAAGTAACTTCGTTTCACTTTCTTTCGCCCAGAAAACAAGAACACAGAATCTTGCTGACACCATATTTAATGCCTGGCCGTTCCTGATATTTATCCTGGCAGCAGCTGGTGCATCTGGGATGACTGTCTGGTTATTGGTACGAGTTAAAATTAGGATAGTTGAACAGAAGAGCACTACGTTAATAACTAGTACATAGACTAACAAAACAAAGAAATATTTGTGTTAAGCGTTAATTTTCAGCGTTCTCTGATAAAGAGTGTTTAAAAACTCGTGAGTTTTCGGCTTCCTGTCTAAAGCCTTTAAAAACGAAGATGTTCTTGAAAAGATGAAAAATGTTTGCGAAAAGCGAGTGTAAAAAATTATCACTTACGTTTTGTTAACATTTTCTTTTCGCTCGCATATATTTTTCGTCTTTCCTTCTTACAGTTAAGCTTTAGGCCTTAGACTGGAAGTCGAAGACTCACGAATTTTTAAAAATTCTTTAGCATCCCAGTGTTGTCAGAGTGTTGCACTCCGTACCATGTAGTTCAAAGTAGTTAATTTTTTCCCTGTCATTGCTCGTTTCCTTTATTTTCCCCACAGGAATATGTTTTCTTCTCAAAAGAATTCTCAAGAAAATTTGTGAATGGTGCCTGGGACGGTTTCTGGTGGGCTGTTGTTACCATGACAACTGTAGGGTAAGTGATAAATGTTAAGGCCACCTGCAAAAGGACAGCGTGTTTGGTTTTGGGTGATTTAGGATTGTTTCACCACAGTGCTTCTCTATGTATCGACATTGCTGATCTGAAATTATGTGTTGGCCAGTTGACCAAACGTCGTTCTGTTTGGTATTTGACAGGAATATTAATGTTGATTTCTGTTTTCACAGGACAGTTCACATGAGTTTATTGTATCAAATCTTTCTTTTGCCATCAGTTATGGCGACAGTTCGCCGAAGTCCCTGCCTGGTCGACTATTCTGCTTCATTTGGATAATAACTGGTATAAATATAATATCCATATTTACTGCACTGGTCACAGCCACAGTAACGGCATCAACACGACCGTACTTCAACATTCATGGCGCCAAGGTAAAGAGATGTCTTAATGAAGCTTATCACTCCACACTAAATCACTCTACACTTCTATAATAGGTTCCTTCAAAGAGAGATTTTTCAATCAAGCTGAGGCCCTAACAAGCGAGAGGTTTTCTGATAGTTGAAGAAAAACCTTAAGTACAAGCAAACAGATCAAAAAATCGCATTCCCGTGGTCAACCATAAAGACTACAAATTTCATTTTACAAAGAGACGCCATGAAAATGAATTTTCAAAGGTTGTCCTTATATAAAAGGAAAACCTTCGAGAATTTATCAGACCTTATTGAATATAGCAGTTATACTTAATTTATTATTATTGATCAACGTTTAATCGTGCATGGTCAATTAATGTTGATATTTAAATCATATCCATCAGATTGGCGCAGTCAACGGCAGTGAAGAGTTTCGTCTTGGTGTCAGTATAAACTTTGACATGCAAGGTAGGACAATCGAGTTTAAAACAAAAATTCTTCAGAGGCTAGCTATAAAGAGGTCAATTTTTTTTGTATTTATCCATATATGGAATTTACGGCATCTTGAACAGCTCTGAAGGAAACTCTAATTAAAGTAGTATATACATATAGTCCAAACCTATACAACTAGTTTGATATTGCTTTTAGAGTAGTCCTTCTCTTTTATCTTCTCCTGCTCCTCCACCGCCACCTCCTCTTTGATCCTCCACCTGCTAGCGCTTTTCCTCCTTCTCTTCCACCTCCACGTCCTCCTTATCCAGTTTTCCTCCTCTAACGGACACCACCTCTTTTTTTCCTCCATCAAGACTTAGTGTGAGTTTATGTTCTTATTGTTTACAATTTAACTTTTCAAAAGAGGTTTTCGATTGAGTATCGTAAATCCAAAATTAAAGTAATCGCTCTGGCCAATCACAAAGAACAAAGCCAATCCACTGAACCAGTCAAAACTCGAATGTAAAGCGCGGGAAAGAGCGTGCGAGCGAGTCTCTATTGGTTTTGGTTTCACTTCTGACCGGATGAAAAAGTGGCGCGAGTTTTTTAAGCCAGTCGCGGCGCAGATAACGTAACTGATCATCAAATGATGATCTTTTATCGTTTAATTACCAGTGGTAATGATTAACCCATTTGACATAGCTGTTAATTAACAGTGAAAATTTGCTATCTCATACTATTTACGGCAATTTATATATTTCAAGTTCACTGCTGGATGCAGGATTTCAACCTCTGATCACAAGGTGTCACTTTCATTACAATAGCATTCAGCACCCCTGCATCGATGACCAAAGCAGTGAAAGAGCAAGAAGTAGACGGAATTTTGATTGACAACTATGCACTGACAAGGTTTTCTAACTTGATGGAGAAGGAACCTTTCCGCGTGGAGCGCACCATTGAGCATCCAATCACATACGGCCTTGTGCTTCCATCCGGGTCACCAAACACTGAACAATGTGTTCGACGCTATATGAGGAACTTCAATCATGAAATATTTGAGCGAATTGCAAAGCACCTTATTCCTATTAAGGTAATAAGTTTGAAATAAGAATATTCTTAGGATTTACTCTATCGGCCTGCAAATCTCAAGGAACATTGTTTTCCTTCCGTTGAAATTGGAAAAAAAGCAAACTACATGCATCTATTCTAATTCCGTTTCATGATCTACGCATAAATTGCTTTCAACGAAAAAAGGCGACCCTTTCATAAACCTTAAGCTTCCATAGAAAATGGAACTCCTTTAACATACAGCATCTGTTATCTTAACTTTTCATTTACTGAGGTAACCTCGTTTAAAAATTGGTTAAAATGAATTAGCGTGAGTAAGATATTATGAATCGGCCTTTGGTAACTACCTAAATGAAAAACTTCTACACCCTTTTCTATACTTCAGCTTGAAACTAAAGGGACCCCGTTCAGATTCTATATCACGCCAATTTACCCGCCTTGTGATAAAGAAAATCTTTTCTTTCTCCAGAGTAAACGAACCGACAAGAACTATGCTGTTAAGGCGACGGAAGGTCTCTTCTATCAAGAGCACATGTTTAGTTCTATTGTCAGGATCGGAGTCATTATTGTAGCCAGTCTTGTGCTCATTGGACTCATGTGGGAGTTTGCTTACAGAAGACGTAGGCATGGTACGTCATGGACCTTGGATCATGGACAATAAAGTCAAATAGAACAATAGCTTGGCCATTGTCTAGCTTACTTAGTTTGTTCCAAGAAAATGTTTTAAGTGGCACGGTCTTCTTACGATAATTTTTTTGTTAATACTTTGAGGTGAAAAAACACTGACAAAGATGGATAATTCGTCTAATGGGGAGACAGACAGACACACGAACAGACGGACAGACGGATTGATCGACGGAAGGACAGACCGCGTCTGTCTTACTCTGATTGATTGATTGATTGATTGATTGATTGATTGANACTGTAGCGCAAAGCATTTTGCAAAATGAAAAAGGTGCGTGTTTGGGAAAGCTTGTATTCCCCTTCCGCTAGCTTGGCGTTGGTTTACACAGGGAAATTGAGAGAGATTTCTATTCTTTTTATCTTAAGCTTTTTTATCATTCATATCGTTGGTAAGTCTTATCACAAAAGAATGACTTACTCTCTGGCTCAGGGTTCTTGCTCGCCTTTTTGCCTTGAAGTAATTTTTTCCTAGTAAGCTAAGTCTCCGTCCCAGGTGGATCAACGATCTCGGCTGCACGTGCTCTTTTTCCTTTAGAAATCTTCCTTATATATACGATACAGTGATGTCAATGACGGTCAGTAAACGTGACTTATATAATGAGATCGAAAGTATGGCGCCGAAGATTACCTAGTTAAATTTATCCATGGAAAGTAAGCGAGACGCTTTCAAACGACATCGTTAAATTAAAAGCACATGCGAAAATATACTCTAGAATTATAACGTCCCCGTTCCGTCTTCAGGCCATTAATTTTCCCTGGAATAACGTGTTTCGTTTCTTAAAAGAAATTAATGCGAACTGAGTTTTAGTGATTTAGAGTGTCATAAAGGCTCTTTGTGCCATCACGGAAGCCATTATTGTTCCCCAGAATAGCGTGCGGCTAAGTAAAGGAAACTGATATCCCTGATTTGATTTGCATGTAGCGTTTTAGAGCAACTTGCATTGCTTCATCAAGCATCATTCATCCCTTTTATAACGCACTGTCAGTATTGCGCGGATTGATTGATTTAAAGATCGCTTGAATTTAGCGAAGACGTTTGGATATGTCTTAAAAGTTCAATAGCTGGAAAATCATCCATCCCTGGAATTAGCGCAGGATTATTCAAATTGTTTATTCTGTCAACTCTAAATGTCCTAAATGCATTCCTAATTGACTTTGTACATGAAAAGAAAAGAATGTAACTCGAAAATCAGACTGCTACTTAATAAACTTTGCCACCTTGCGTTAAATTTGCTACATTTGAATATATCCAAGCTTATCCTTAGTCGGTCTGACGCAGAAAGGAAGCAATTCTGTATAATTACTTCGGTTAAAGGAAGATTGGCCCCGGGCTTTTATCAGTTGTAGGTTCCTGGCTACGTTATGAGGTTGAAATTAAAGCTGCGGACACCGAAACTGTTGCTCGAACGTGTTGCAATATTTCATGTTTTGTCATATTTATCGATATGCATCCCCGGGAAAAATCGGGTGGAAGTGTGCGGTCCGCTTCCCAAAATCCTTACCCCATTTATGACCCAAATCTGCGATTTTCCCCACCCTGTTAATGACCTGACCAAAAATTCGATACCCTATTTATGACCTGAATCGTAAATCAATACTCTATTTATGACTAAAACGGCTGAAAAACCATATCCTTTGGCGCCGCACGTAGCTATATAGCCCATATAAGGGAACACCCCGGTATGCATATGAAGTACAATTTTAGAATTTTAACGGTCATGTAAATTGCGATCAACGGATGTAAATTGTGATCAACAGATGTGGTTCAACGGCTTGTCCACCACTGCTGTAACGGAAGTGAAATAGTGTATGGTACATTCATGAAGAGCATAAGGGAGGCAGAGGATCACTTTTCCGAACAAATGTACGATTTCACATTCCCGGTGTACAGATCCAAAATGGACAAAGACCTGTACAGGGACCAACCGTTTGTGACTGTGGTGGCCGCACCAAGAGTCGTATTGCTGGTCTACGATGGACCTCAGGTAAAAAAAGTTTTGAAAGGTTAAAACTTTGCAGTTCTTTCAGACAATTATCTGCCTACCTAATCCTACCATTTAATAATTTGGAACGATTCGCTGGCATACCAGGCGAGTTTGGTAGAGCCATGGCTCATAGTATGTCGAGACGTATAGTCGAGCCAAAATCCACGTGCAGAGAACAACGACTGCCCTGAAGCGTACCAAAAAAGACACGATTAGGTATTAACCAAACCCACGTTCGGCCTTAAATCAGGCGATATCTCCGGTTAGTAACTTAATATCGCAAGATATCAACACAGTAGACAAGGTTTCTCATAGAATAAAGGTTTAGCCATTGTTTTGAAACAAGAGAATCGTATTCTCTTGTTTCGGAAAGCACTCTCCAGAGATTGTGCGTAGCGGTCGTTGTGATGAAAAATACACGAAACTGCAGTGCGTCGTGTGGTGCTTCGTCTAGGTCATATTGGGTAGTTTTTATTCTCTAATCATCATGGAGTCGTAAGGTAAGGTTCAACTCTCTCCGCTTAGCGATCATAGCAATCAAATGGAAACCAACCTTTAAAAAAGGGTGTCCGCATTTATAAGAGGTGATATAAAGCGGGGGGCTAAAATAGGAGGCTATGGGACCATACAAAATGTATGGGGATCATGATAGAACATGCTGTGCCGTGGGGCTTGCAGAGAGCTATATAGCGTGGAAGAGGGGCCGTAACAAGTGCTCGGCATGAGTGGCCGGGAAATTATTCCTTTAGCTGAAAGTAACTTCGTTTCACTTTCTTTCGCCCAGAAAACAAGAACACAGAATCTTGCTGACACCATATTTAATGCCTGGCCGTTCCTGATATTTATCCTGGCAGCAGCTGGTGCATCTGGGATGACTGTCTGGTTATTGGTACGAGTTAAAATTAGGATAGTTGAACAGAAGAGCACTACGTTAATAACTAGTACATAGACTAACAAAACAAAGAAATATTTGTGTTAAGCGTTAATTTTCAGCGTTCTCTGATAAAGAGTGTTTAAAAACTCGTGAGTTTTCGGCTTCCTGTCTAAAGCCTTTAAAAACGAAGATGTTCTTGAAAAGATGAAAAATGTTTGCGAAAAGCGAGTGTAAAAAATTATCACTTACGTTTTGTTAACATTTTCTTTTCGCTCGCATATATTTTTCGTCTTTCCTTCTTACAGTTAAGCTTTAGGCCTTAGACTGGAAGTCGAAGACTCACGAATTTTTAAAAATTCTTTAGCATCCCAGTGTTGTCAGAGTGTTGCACTCCGTACCATGTAGTTCAAAGTAGTTAATTTTTTCCCTGTCATTGCTCGTTTCCTTTATTTTCCCCACAGGAATATGTTTTCTTCTCAAAAGAATTCTCAAGAAAATTTGTGAATGGTGCCTGGGACGGTTTCTGGTGGGCTGTTGTTACCATGACAACTGTAGGGTAAGTGATAAATGTTAAGGCCACCTGCAAAAGGACAGCGTGTTTGGTTTTGGGTGATTTAGGATTGTTTCACCACAGTGCTTCTCTATGTATCGACATTGCTGATCTGAAATTATGTGTTGGCCAGTTGACCAAACGTCGTTCTGTTTGGTATTTGACAGGAATATTAATGTTGATTTCTGTTTTCACAGGACAGTTCACATGAGTTTATTGTATCAAATCTTTCTTTTGCCATCAGTTATGGCGACAGTTCGCCGAAGTCCCTGCCTGGTCGACTATTCTGCTTCATTTGGATAATAACTGGTATAAATATAATATCCATATTTACTGCACTGGTCACAGCCACAGTAACGGCATCAACACGGCCGTACTTCAACATTCATGGCGCCAAGGTAAAGAGATGTCTTAATGAAGCTTATCACTCCACACTAAATCACTCTACACTTCTATAATAGGTTCCTTCAAAGAGAGATTTTTCAATCAAGCTGAGGCCCTAACAAGCGAGAGGTTTTCTGATAGTTGAAGAAAAACCTTAAGTACAAGCAAACAGATCAAAAAATCGCATTCCCGTGGTCAACCATAAAGACTACAAATTTCATTTTACAAAGAGACGCCATGAAAATGAATTCTCAAAGGTTGTCCTTATATAAAAGGAAAACCTTCGAGAATTTATAAGACCTTATTGAATATAGCAGTTATACTTAATTTATTATTATTGATCAACTTTTAATCGTGCATGGTCAATTAATGTTGATATTTAAATCATATCCATCAGATTGGCGCAGTCAACGGCAGTGAAGAGTTTCGTCTTGGTGTCAGTATAAACTTTGACATGCAAGGTAGGACAATCGAGTTTAAAACAAAAATTCTTCAAAGGCTAGCTATAAAGAGGTCAATTTTTTTTGTATTTATCCATATATGGAATTTACGGCATCTTGAACAGCTCTGAAGGAAACTCTAATTAAAGTAGTATATACATATAGTCCAAACCTATACAACTAGTTTGATATTGCTTTTAGAGTAGTCCTTCTCTTTTATCTTCTCCTGCTCCTCCACCGCCACCTCCTCTTTGATCCTCCACCTGCTAGCGCTTTTCCTCCTTCTCTTCCACCTCCACGTCCTCCTTATCCAGTTTTCCTCCTCTAACGGACACCACCTCTTTTTTTCCTCCATCAAGACTTAGTGTGAGTTTATGTTCTTATTGTTTACAATTTTACTTTTCAAAAGAGGTTTTCGATTGAGTATCGTAAATCCAAAATTAAAGTAATCGCTCTGGCCAATCACAAAGAACAAAGCCAATCCACTGAACCAGTCAAAACTCGAATGTAAAGCGCGGGAAAGAGCGTGCGAGCGAGTCTCTATTGGTTTTGGTTTCACTTCTGACCGGATGAAAAAGTGGCGCGAGTTTTTTAAGCCAGTCGCGGCGCAGATAACGTAACTGATCATCAAATGATGATCTTTTATCGTTTAATTACCAGTGGTAATGATTAACCCATTTGACATAGCTGTTAATTAACAGTGAAAATTTGCTATCTCATACTATTTACGGCAATTTATATATTTCAAGTTCACTGCTGGATGCAGGATTTCAACCTCTGATCACAAGGTGTCACTTTCATTACAATAGCATTCAGCACCCCTGCATCGATGACCAAAGCAGTGAAAGAGCAAGAAGTAGACGGAATTTTGATTGACAACTATGCACTGACAAGGTTTTCTAACTTGATGGAGAAGGAACCTTTCCGCGTGGAGCGCACCATTGAGCATCCAATCACATACGGCCTTGTGCTTCCATCCGGGTCACCAAACACTGAACAATGTGTTCGACGCTATATGAGGAACTTCAATCATGAAATATTTGAGCGAATTGCAAAGCACCTTATTCCTATTAAGGTAATAAGTTTGAAATAAGAATATTCTTAGGATTTACTCTATCGGCCTGCAAATCTCAAGGAACATTGTTTTCCTTCCGTTGAAATTGGAAAAAAAGCAAACTACATGCATCTATTCTAATTCCGTTTCATGATCTACGCATAAATTGCTTTCAACGAAAAAAGGCGACCCTTTCATAAACCTTAAGCTTCCATAGAAAATGGAACTCCTTTAACATACAGCATCTGTTATCTTAACTTTTCATTTACTGAGGTAACCTCGTTTAAAAATTGGTTAAAATGAATTAGCGTGAGTAAGATATTATGAATCGGCCTTTGGTAACTACCTAAATGAAAAACTTCTACACCCTTTTCTATACTTCAGCTTGAAACTAAAGGGACCCCGTTCAGATTCTATATCACGCCAATTTACCCGCCTTGTGATAAAGAAAATCTTTTCTTTCTCCAGAGTAAACGAACCGACAAGAACTATGCTGTTAAGGCGACGGAAGGTCTCTTCTATCAAGAGCACATGTTTAGTTCTATTGTCAGGATCGGAGTCATTATTGTAGCCAGTCTTGTGCTCATTGGACTCATGTGGGAGTTTGCTTACAGAAGACGTAGGCATGGTACGTCATGGACCTTGGATCATGGACAATAAAGTCAAATAGAACAATAGCTTGGCCATTGTCTAGCTTACTTAGTTTGTTCCAAGAAAATGTTTTAAGTGGCACGGTCTTCTTACGATAATTTTTTTGTTAATACTTTGAGGTGAAAAAACACTGACAAAGATGGATAATTCGTCTAATGGGGAGACAGACAGACACACGAACAGACGGACAGACGGATTGATCGACGGAAGGACAGACCGCGTCTGTCTTACTCTGATTGATTGATTGATTGATTGATTGATTGATTGA